TTGGATTGCCAGCCCTGGCAGCTTCCTTTCTCACCTTCCCTTTCTGGCTTGCCCTATCTCCCTCTGGTCAAATTAAAGAATAAATAATAATAACAAATAAATAAATTTTTTTAAACGCAAGAAATTAAAACAAGTATAACATTTAAAAGCATTTAAAAATAATCTTTTTAGAGAGAGAGATTTTTTTGCTATAGGACATGTGCACTTGCCAGAGAGACAGAAAACAAGAAATTACTCCCCAGGGGGGATAGCTATACCACATCTCTCTCCCCTCCATTCTCCTCTTGGGATTTTGGGCATACACACACACATGCACCCTGTGTGAATCATAAGCCGCTGGGTCTGGGACTCACAAACCGTGGTTGACTACATGGGAATTCAGCGTCATAACCATTATGCCATCTGCCGGTTCCAACTAAGTAATTTTCTAAAAGAAAGGACTTTATAATTTTATGATTATTAATCTTATACCTAAACATCTAAGATATTTCCAATGGTTATAGAAAAGTACAAATCAGAAGCTAAAAGTCACCTCAAATCTAGCTACCCAGCAGTAGTCTTTTAGTGTTTTTCTGAATAATCTTTAAAATATTTTAATATGAAAATACTATCTTACTCTATATACTGTTTTATAATGTGCTTTTTTTTACATGATGTATTTGGCAATATTTTTGTTAATAAATATAGATCTATATTGCACTATGCAGTACAGTAATAGCTACATGTGGCTATTTACAGAAAACTTAATTAAAATTCAATTTAAAATTAAAAATACAATTCTTAGTTGCACTAGCCTCATTTTAAGTGCTCAGTGGATAGGTACTAATGTCTGCTGTATTGGCTAGCACTGATCTATTGTATTTTACTCTCTGAAATAACCGAAGATAAATGTATTTCTCTCCACACCTAGCCCTTGAGTTTGCCACCTTTTATTCAGAAAGGCTGTATCAACATAAGTTCTTTTTTTTTTTGAGAGAGAGATTTTTGCTATAGGGCACAGGTACTCACTAGCGAGACGGAGAGACAAAGCGAGAAATCACTCTTCTGGGGTGATGGCTCCACCGCAATCCCTTCTCCTCTCGGAATTTTGAGCATACATGCACACGTACCTGGCGTGAGTTTTAAGCTGCTGGGTCTGGGACTTGAACTGCAGTTGACTACATGAGCGTCCGGCAGTGTAACCATTATGCCATCTGTTGGTCTCAAATTCTTACTTACAGTATGGAAGAATTTATTTCCCCAGGTAATATTAATAGTCTTTTAAATTCTTTATGCATTGGTAAGTGGAAAAATAGTATTCTATTTCAATTTGTAAGTTTTTGACTACTGATCAGAATAAAAATCTTTTCAAATGCTTATTTTATTTTGCCTTCTCTTATTTTGTGAATTATCTCTAGTGGGTACTTATAATTTGTACAAATTAGTCAATCCTAGTGATCTGTAGCTAGAAGAGACCTGTTGGGTCAATGGTAAAGTCGTGAAGCAATTTTGGATATAAAAATAAGTCTTGACTTTTTCAACAACCTAGTACAAAGGCTTGATGTGTTTTTCTATGCAAAATGTATCATACCTTTTCTGACAACACAGTCTGTTAATTTGATGACATTGGTATTAGAGTAGTGAGATTTTAAACTGCCTGCTACTATTTTATTTTACTTTCGTTTTTTGCTTAAGGTAAAGGTTAAGATTACGGTTTCATGTTGGTTCAATTGACTTATCACAGGTAATTCAACAGGCATTGCACCGTCCGCCCAGCTCGGCTGCTCAGTACCTCCAGCAGATGTACGCAGCCCAGCAGCAGCACCTGATGCTGCACACGGCAGCTCTGCAGCAGCAGCACCTCAGCAGCTCCCAGCTTCAGAGCCTCGCTGCTGTGCAGGTGAGATGAGGCAGTTGAGGCCTTCATTCGGACAAAGTTCACCTCACCTGCTGATAATTACTGAAAATAAATATGTTGCATGTTATTTTGGAGTTCTCAGATGTCCTGTGATCATTTTTCCTAAAGGAAATACATTATTAGGATGTCAAATAGAAGTTAATTAAGAGTGAAAAAAACGCTATGTTTCATATGTTACTGTGTTGCTAGCTTTGGATCCCTATTGAAGAACTGCTACGCTAGTGGCATGGTTTGTGTATAAAATTCTAGGTATAGCAGTGAATAGTTAGGGTTACATGAATTATATCTTAACCAAAAATACGTGTTTTTTTATTGTGTAAGTAATTTATACTTATTAAAAAATATAAACCATTGGGACCAGCAGGTGGCACAGTAGTTAAGGTACTGTACACTCCCACATGGCTGACCACAGTTCAAGTCCTGGACCTGGTGGCTTGCTTTCTCATTTTCTCTCTCTCTCTCTGTCTGTCTGTCTCCTTCTGGTCAAATTAAAAAACAAATGAATAATTAAATAAAATAATTCTTAAAAAAATGTCAACCATTATAAAATTGTTTTATCTTTTCTGAGAGATTTTTGTTATAGGTCGTGTGCCCTTGCCAGAGAGACAAACAAAAAGTGAGAAATCACTCCATTGAGGAGATGGCCACATGTAGTCCCTTCTCCTCCATTCTCCTCTTGGGGTTTTGGGCACCCACACATGCATGCCTGGCATGAGTTTCCAGCCACTGGGTCTAAGAATTGAACCGCGGTCAATTGTGGAAGTCCAGCAGTGTAACCATTATACCATTTGCTGGTCCCATAAAATTGTTTTTAAGAGGTAAATGAACTGTTCCTGTTCTATGCTTACCACTGTTTCCTACTCTTTAGAGGTGCCACTGTTCCCGTTTAACATGCATATCTCCAGAAATTTCCTATACTAAAAAAGTATGCATCCTTCCAAAATCCAGTTATCAATAGGATTTTATGATTAAGTGCTTATGTTTTAAAAAACATTTTTATTATTGCACTATTTAAATAAAAACTGTGATTTTATCTTAAATCTTCTTATCAGAGGCATATCTCAGCTGACCAAACCTGAAAAAGGTTTATTTTTGTTACCAGCAGATTCTCAGCTGTTGTTTCTTAGTGGCATATTTTTAAATAACATGCTTATGAGTTAGGAAACTGAAACCCACTGGCTCTTGCTAGAGCTCCAGTTTCTTTGTCATGACGTTGAAGTAGTGATTTTACCTGAAAGATGACAGAGCCCTGCACAGTGAAACCGACCAGTGCAGCTGATAGATTAGCTGTTAGGTCCACCGTTTTTACCGTTCAGCTTTTTAAAGACAGACTAAAGCATAAGCTGTGTTGGCAGTACAATGTCTTGTTTCATATGTAAACATTTTTATATGTATTGTGATTTTTTAAACATTTTTAAAAATTTTATTTATCATCGTTATTCTTCAATTTTTTTTTTCTTTTTTTTTTGGAGAGATTTTTCACTGTAGGGCGCGTGCGCTCGCCAGACAGACAGAGAGAGACATAGAGACAGAAAGTGAGAAATCACCCCCCAGGGAGGATGGTCACGCCGCAATCCCTGCTCCTCCATTCTCCTCTCGGGATCTTGGGCACGCACGCACACGCACCCGGCGTGAGTTTTAAGCCACCGGGTCCGGGACACGAACTGTGGTCGACTACGTGGGAGTCCAGTTATTCTTCAATTTTGACTCTAGATAGACAGAAAGACAAAAGGAGAGTAAGAAAGCGAGCCGCCAGGTTTGAGACTCGAACTATGGTCAGCCATGTGGGAGTCCAGTGCCTCAACCACCATGCCACCTGCTGGCTGCATATATTGTGATTTTATGTCATTATGGTACCAGAAATTTTTAGCTTCTGTTATTTATAGATTTATTATAAAGGTCTTATCATTTTAGGCAAGTTTGTCCAGTGGAAGACCACCTACATCCCCCACAGGAAGTGTCACACAACAGTCAAGTATGTCCCAGACATCCGTAAGTGCCCTAGTTTTTTCTTGGATTTAAATATTTTAATATTTTTTCCAGAAGTAAACTGTTGCTATTTATGAAGCTTATTGTCTATTTCTCTTGCATGCTGCTTAAGTAACAAGTTACCTAGATTTTATCAGGATTGATAAGGTTCGTGAATTCAGAACTAATGTTAACTTTGAACATCTAAGTCTTAAAAATCTTTTTGTTGGGGGCCTGCAGGTGATGTGGTGGTTAAGGGTGCTGGACACCTACGTGGCTAGCTGCTGTTCAAGTACCATATCTGGTGGCTTGCTTTCTCGCTCTCTCCACCCCCTGTCACTCTCTGGCCAAATTAAAATAATAAATACATAAATAAAGTTAAATAAAATAATTAAAAATCTTTTTGTTGGGGCCAGCCAGGTGGTTTGATGGTTAAGGTATTGGACTCCTGCATGCCTGACTATGGTTTGAGTCCCAGACCCCACATACTGATAATGACGCCAGGCCTCTGTACATGTGTTCCCAAAATCCCAAGAGGAGAATGGAGGAGAAGGGACTGTGGCATGGCCACTTCCCTGGGGGGCTGATTTCTCACTTTCCCTCTCTCTGTCTCTTTAGCGAGTACACACACCCTTTGGCAAAAATTAAAAAAAATTAAAAATAACCTTTTTGTAATTCTGTAACCTTTCTCACTTATGTTCAGATCATACGTGATTCTAAATGATTTCAGTTTTAAGTGTGTATTAATACCTGAAATATGCAATACAGAATACAGGGGTATTAACCATGCATTTACAATGATGTTCTGTCTTTTATAAACAGTTAAATGTTTCCAGCTTTGTATAATTCACATGCAAGAAATTATACTTTTCAGTTTACTTAAGTTATCAGGAAATATCTGGGTCAAATTTACAAATATCCATTTAAGATAGGGCAATTTATTTTGTGAAAGGAGTAAAAAAGAAAGATGTAATATGGCAGAAAAAAAAAAGAATTTATAGGCATGGTAATCCTTGTTTAATTTTTTATTTTAATATAATTTTCAGCTTCAAGAATAATTTTCTTTCTTTTCTTTTATTTTTGAGAGGTTTTTGCTATAGGGCGCATGTGCTCGCCAGAGAGACAGACAGACAGAAAGTGAGAAATCACCCCCCCCAGGGGAGATGGCCACGCCACAGTCCCTTCTCCTCCATTCTCCTCTTGGGATTCTGGGCACGCACGCACATGCGCCTGGCGTGAGTTTTAGCCACCGGGTCTGGGACTTGAACCACAGTCGACCACATGGGAGCCTAGCGACATAGCCATTACACTAACTGCTGGACCCTCAAGAATAATTTTCTGTATACTTCTATTCAGATTCACCAGTTAACATTCCACCCCATTGCTTTATCATTCATTCTTTCTCTTTACATTTATACATATTATTTTTTCTGATTCATTTATGGATAATTTGCAACACGCTTTCATTCATGCTAGGAATTTCCTAAGAAAAAGGTCTTTTATTAATTTTTATTGATTTTTTTGAAAATAATTATTTTAGTTAAATTTATTCATTTACTTACTTATTTAAATTTGACCAGAGAGGGATAGAGAGAGAGAGTGAGAAAGCAAGCTGCCAAGTCTGGGACTTGAACTGTGGTCAGCCATATGGGAGTCCAGCACCCTTAACCACCATGCCACCTGCCGGCCCCATTTTTAAAATTTTTGCTGGGGAGCATATGCACTTGCTAGGGAGAGAGAGCAAGACAGACGGTGAAAAAGCACTCCTCGTGGGGCTTGACCACACACTACTTCATTTCTCCCTCTTTTTGAGATTTCGAGCATGTACATACATGGGCTTACTTGTAGTTGGTTTTGGGAAATTTTTGCCATAGGGTGCATATACTTGCCGGAGAGACAAAGAGAGTCAGAGAGACAGAAAGCAAACTACCTCCCCCTCCCGGGGATGTCCACACTGCAATTCCCTCTTCTCCATTCTCCTCTTGGGGTTTTGGGCCATGCACATGTGCTGGCATGATTAAGCTGCTGGGTCTCAGACTCGAACTGTGGTTGGCCACGTAGGTGTCCAGTGCCTTAACCACTGAACCACCTGTTGGCCCCTTAGTATGTTTTTCTTCTTTTTAAAGAGGGTTTTGCCTTAGGGCATGTGTGCTCTCTAGGAAGAGAGAGAGAGAGAAAGAGACAGGCATAGTGAGAGGGAAAGTGAGAAATCATCCCCTGGGGGAAGGGGGAAGGCTATGTCAATTCCTTCTCCTCCATTTTCCTCCTAGGATCTTGGGCACACACGCACATGCGCCTGGCATGAGTTTTAAGCCACTGGGTCAGGGACTACAACTGCGGTCGACCATGTGGGAGTCCAGTGATGAAGCTACCATGCCATCTGCAGTCCTTCCTTAGTGTGTTCTTCAAGCCACTGGGTCCAAGGTTTGAACTGTGTGGTTGGCAATGAGGGATCAAGTTACCTTAAGCACCAGTGCTCCTGTGACCTGAAAACATTTATTCTTTTACGAGCCACAGAAAAGTGATTAAATTCAGGAAATTTAACATTGATATAATTCAGTTCATGTTCAGATTTTATCAGGTTTATCTCAGGTTTCTCAGTTTCATCACTATCAGACAGTAGGGGCCAGTTAATTCTTTTGGGAGGAGCTGTCATGTGCACGTTTATCCATCCCTGTCTCTACCCATTAGCTAACCACAAGCTCTTACCCCCCCCCCACCTCCTGTGTGACTACTAAGAACATCTTTTGGGAGGAAAATTGTCCCTGGTTAAGAACGATTGAGTTGGAAAAAAGAACCATTGAGTTGTCCTAATAATGTCCTTACAGATTTTTTTTTTAACAGTATTTTTGCTATAGAGCACGTATACTCGCTGGAAAAACAGAGCTAGATAGAGAGACAGGAAGTGATAAATAATCCTCTGGAGTGGGGTGGGATAGCCATGCTGGAAACCCTTCTCCATTCTCCTCTTGGGATTTTGGACACACGTGCCCAGCATGAATTCAAGCCACCAGGTCCGGTATTTGAACCACAGTTAGCCATGTGGGAATCCAGTGCCTTAACCACTTTGCCACCTACTGGCTCTCCTTTTAGATATTTTTTCCTGATCCAGGATAGTAATGCTTTAATACTTAGAAAAACAGACTCTAATAGAATATAGTTCTTAGGTTGTTAAAGAATCGAAGATAAACTCGTGCTATATTTTTTGTAGCCGAAGGTGTGGTCTTTGCTAAGTACATGCTTTTGTCAGCATATAGTTATTTTCCTGGCTGTTGGTTCAACATTTTTATTTATTTATTTATTGGAGAGATTTTTACTATAGGCACTTGAGCTCACTGTAGAGATACAAAGGTGGAGAGAGAAAGAAAGAAAGAAATCATTCTTCAGGGGTAAAGCCATGCCCTAGTCCCTTCTCCGTTCTTCTCCTGAGATTTTGGGCATGCACTCACATGTGCCTGGTGTGAGTTTCAAGCCACTGGATTCGAGACTTGAACTACAGTCGGCCGTATAGGAATCCCGCGCCTTGACCGCTATACCACCTGCTGGCGCCTGTCCGATATTTTGAATTAAAAAAATATTTTTTAGCATGGAAATATCCTAAAGTATGAACAAAATTAGTGAATAAATTACTTCTAATCTAAATATGCTAGACTGAAGAAAGTGAAAAATTTATATTAATACCATGGTAACAATTATTGATGTTAGATGTCTTTCATTAGTATAATAGTAGTTAAGGAAACAGAGAGAGAGAGAGAGAGAGAGAAAGAGAGAAAGCAAGCCACCAGGTCCAGGACTTGAACCAGTCGGCCATGTGGGAGTACAGCATCTGCTGGCCCCACATGTGTATTAAATAAATGATAGTTAATTTATACCTTGGAATACTATAGCTGCTAAACCCAGGATAATTTGCATGTTCATTACCCCAAACACTTTTCATTACTTTGTATTGGGAGCATTTAAAACCCTCTCTTCCGGCTATCTTGAATTGTACAATAATTTGTTAACTATCATTACCCTATGGAACGTTACCCTCAGGAAATACCTGTATTCCCATGTTCACTACAGTATTGTTCACAATGGCCAAGATATGGAGTCAACCTAAGTGTGCATCTGTGGATAGTTGGATAGAGAAAATGTATATATATACACCATAGAGTACTATTCAACCGTTAAAAATAACGAAATCCTGTCATTCGAAGCAAAATGGACAAGTCTGGAGCAAATTATATGAAGTGAACACTAGAACTAACTTCTCCTATCTAATGTAATTTTGTATCCATGAGCTGTGTTTCCTGTACATTGGCCCTCTCAAACTGTAGTAGTCACTGTTCTACTTTTTATTTTTAATTGTTTCAGGCAGGCACACGCACCAGGTCTCCTGGTCCAGGACTCCAGGACTCTGTGCAGTTGGCCATGTGCGGTCCGGCTACCTTACCTTCCTCGTCACCTGCTGGCCCCCTACTTTTTTTTTTTTGCTAAAGGGCGCATGCACACACACAGAGAGACAGAGGGAGGGAGAGCGAGAAAGCACCCACCATGGGGGATGTCTAGATTGCAGTACTTCCTCTTTCATTTCTACTCTACAGATTTTAGGCACACATACGAGCTTAGTGTGTTTTCTAAGTTGCTGAGTCTGGGACTCGAACTGTATAGTCGGCCGTGTGAGATCCAGCTGCTTCAACCACCATGCTACTGTGCACTTTCTTTCCATGAGGCCACTTTTCGTTTTTAGATGAGGTCTTGCTGTATTTCAGTCATCCCGCCTCAGCCCCTCAAGTAACTTGGACCACAGTTGTGTGCCATGGGGCCTGGCTTTTAGGGTGGGCTAGGAGTGACTCTGGGCCTCGCATGCTGTCTCAGCTGGCCGTGTAGCAGTGTCTTGTAGCAGAGGCGACTGCAGTTGGGCCTGTGAGGTCGATTTATTTTTTAAGCTTTCACATGTGAGTGAAAACATGTGGTATTTTTCTTTCTGTCTATGGCTTATTTCACTTCATATAATTTGGTGGGAGAGGATGGTATGGTGG